AGGTCGTTCAGGGATTTCTCCCCCCCGAATTCCATGGCCAGGCAGAGGCTCCCGTCCGGAGCCGTCGTCAGCGCCCGGTACCCTGGAATGGGATCACTGGGATCGCTGGGAATGCGATGGGATCACTGGGATCACTGGGAATGCGATGGGATCCATGGGAATGGGAGCCATGGGAATGGGCATGAGATCCATGGGGATGAAAATGGGATCTGCGGGAACGGGAGCCATGGGATCCGTGGGAATGGGATCCCTGGGAATGGGATGGGATCAATGGGAATGGGATCCATAGGATCCATGGGAATGGGAGCCATGGGATCCGTGGGAATAGGAGCCATGGGAATGGGATGGGATCCATGGGAATGGAAATGGGAGCCATGGGAATGAGAGCCATAAGAATGGGAATGGGATCCGTGGGAATGGGATCCATGGGAATGGGATGGGATCCATAGGAATGGGAGCCATGGGAATGGGAATGGGATCCATGGGAATGGGAGCCATGGGAATGGGAATGGGATCATGGGATCCCTGGGAATGGGATCCATAGGATGCATGGGAATGGGAGCCATGGGAATTGGATCCCTGAACAATTGGAATGGGGGTGGGAATGGGATCCTTGGGATTGGGATGGGATCCCTAGGAATGGGAGCCATGGGATTTGTGGGAATGGGAGCATTGGGATCAGTGGGAATAGGAGCCATGGGAATGGGATTTGTGGGAATAGGATCTGTGGGATCAGTGGGAGTGGGAGCCATGGGAATGGGATCCATGGAATCAGTGGGGAATGGGAACCATGAGATCAGTGGGAATGGCAGCTCTGGGAATGGGATCCGTGGGATCTGTGGGAATTGCAATGGGATCCATAGGAATGGGAGCCACGGGATTCATGGGATCTGTGGGAATGGATTGGGAATGGGAGCCATGGAATGGGAACCATTGGATATGTGGGAATGGGAACCACGGGATCAGTGGGAATGGGATCCGTGGGAATGGGAATGGCAATGGGATCCATGGGGATGGGATACGTGAGAATGGGATTTGTGGGAATGGGAGCTGTGGGAATGGGAACCATGGGATTTGTGGGAATGGGAACCATGGGACTTGTGGGAATGGGTATGGGAGCCTTGAAAATGGGAATGGGAACTGTGGGAATGGCAATGGGATTGGATCCATGGGAATGGGATCTGTGGGAATAGGAGCTGTGGGATCCATGGGAATGGGATTAATGAGAATGGGATCTGTGGGAATGGGAATGGTGGGATCCATGGGAATGGGGATGGCAATGGGAATGGGGGCACAGCCACAATCATGGAATGTTCCGGATGGGATTCATGGATTTCAGTCCCATCCCAATCCAACCCTGTGCCCTCCCTTGATCCCAGGGAGCTCCAAATCCATCCTTGGACACTCCCGGGGATCCGGGGGCAGCCCCGGCTTCCCTGGGAACTCCAGAGGCACTGGGAGGTCTGGAATTCCCCAATCCCGGATCCCCGTCATCTCCCCCTGGAACTGGTTCCACCCCCTCCATTCCCATGGATCCAACCCCTCCATTCCCATCAAATCCACCCCCTCCATTCCCATGGATCTAACCCCAATTCCAAACAGATCCAACCCCTCCATTCCCACAGATCCAAACCCATTCCCAACGGATCCAACCACTCCATTCCCATGGATCCAACCCTTCCATTCCCATGGATTTATCCTTCCATTCCCACATATCCAACCCATCCATTCCCAATGGATCCACCCCCTCCATTCCCAATGTACCCAACCCCATTCCCATGGATCCATCTCTCCATTCCCAATGGATCCAACTCCTTCATTCCCATGGATTTATCCCTCCATTCCCATTAAATCCATTCCCATTCCCAATGGATCCAACCCCATTCCCATCAAATCCCCTCCATTCCCAGGGGATCCAACCAATTCCCATGGATCCAACCCCTCCATTCCCATGGATCCATTCCCATCAAATCCAACCCTGCATTCCCAATGTACCCAACCCCATTCTCATCAAATCCATCTCCTTTCCCATGGATCCAACCCCATTCCCAATGTACCCCACCCCATTCCCATGGATCCAACCCCAATCCCATCACATCCAACCCCAATCCCATGTACCCAACCCCATTCCCATGTACCCAACCCCATTCCCATTGATCCAACCCCATTCCCATGGATCCAACCCCATTCCCAATGTTCCCAACCCCATTCCCAATGTACCCCACCCCATTCCCAATGTACCCAAACCCATTCCCATCAAATCCATCTCCATTCCCATGGATTCAACCCCATTCCCAAAGTACCCAACCCCAATCCCAATGTACCCAACTCCATTCCCATGGATCCAACCCCATTCACATCAAATCCATCTCCATTCCCATCACACCCAACCCCATTCCCAATGTTCCCAACCCCATTCCCAATATACCCAACCCCATTCCCATGTCCCCAACTCCATTCCCAATGTACTCAACCCCATTCCCAATGTCCCCAACTCCATTCC